TTACGGCATGGCGCCGGAATTGTGAAGAGCCAAGACCTGGCCTCATGAGTACCATACTCTACGAGTACAGTACCGGTATCAGAATACCAGTGGACGATGAGCCGGCCCGTCCAGGAAAGCTTTGGTTTGGCGGGTTAACCGGATTTCGATCATCGGTTAACGAGGCCCAACATGCCCAGGGTGCTGGTCCAGTGCCTTATCAGGAAGCCACTAATCCTTCTCAGGAGTTGTTGCCCCCGAGTCCGGAGTTCAGGGGGCTCGGAGGCGGAGGTTCTCCGTACATACCGTATGCAAGTACCGGTACCGTGTGATCCGACGATTTTTACGGCCAAGCCCTCATGACCCGAACGCCAAAGCATCTTCGGATGGGTATGACATCAGTTGAGAGGGACTCGTAATACTGGCCCTCCGGTACGGTGAGTTCCCTATGGCCGATGCATTATCAGAGTCAAATATCGTGCGTACTGTACTGTACTGTACTCAGTCACTGGTGACTCAAGCTCTGAATCACCGGATAAATTGAGCCCGTTCAAACCCTAACCCAGTCGGTGCTGCTGGTACCCGTAAACAAGCAAAACTTGCCCAGATTAAGCTTATAAAAGTCGTGAAATCCTTACCTCAATGAAAGCTACCATTCATCTTACATCGTCACGGCAAACACCCTTCTCGTAGCACAAAACCCTTTCCTGCGCCGACAGCCTAATCACGAACAAATCAGAAGAGCAGAAAAGAACCTCGCAATGCCTCGCGAAAAAAAGACCAGCACGGCCACAATCCAAGCAACCTCGCAACAGACCCGCTTCAATCTCGAAGAAACCGCCTCCAAGGAATTGGACCTAAAGGGTGTGCACATTTCCATTGGGAAGCGGGAAATCATCTCGGACGCGCACCTCAAGCTATCCGCTGGCGTCCACTACGTCCTCATCGGCCGCAACGGCACTGGAAAGAGCACGCTTCTCCGTGCTATCGGGGAGAAGCTGATTCCGGGGATCGCTAGGAATCTGAGGATTCTTTTTTTACAGCAGAGTTATGATTCTGACGGGGAACGGGAGGGGGAGGGGGAGCTAGAGGGGGTGTTGGAGTTTGTCGTTAGGAGCGATAGGGTTAGAACTGATACATTGAGGAGGTTTGAAAGTGAGTGGTTGTAGGTTGGGGTGTGGGTTTGGAGAGCGAGGGCTAAGATTTTTTTTTACGCTATAGCGCTTAAAAGGGCATTGGATAACACCGATGATCCTACTGATGCTGTCAGGGTTTTGAGGATGCTGAAGCATGAAGGGAGAATGGTGGAGTTGGAAGAAGCCAAGAAAGCGGCTGCATTGAGGAGTGGGACCAGAGGTATGAAGGCTAGAAAGGAGCTTAAGGCCTTGGAAGCTGTTGTTGCTGAGGAAGAAGCCCAGTAAGCCCAACTAGGTCAAAGTGACGCACCTCCCTCCGGTTACTGAAAAATTCCAGGCTACAGATAATCAACGACGAAACGGTGGCAGAAGAGACAGATGAAGCGATCAATGCGCTGGGAGAACTCGAAACCGCTCTTGAAGCTGTGAGTGCATTGAAATTTCGGCCCGGGTTGAGCATCAGAGTTAATTTACATAGTAGATGTCTTCTGCAACTGCCGAGGCTCGAGCCCAACAACTTCTTCTCGGACTTGGCTTCACCCCCAAGATGATAGGCCAACCTCTCTCCTCTCTTTCTGGCGGCTGGCGCATGCGCACAATCCTGGCATCACTCCTCTTCCAGCCCTGTGACATTCTCCTGCTAGATGAGCCCACTAACTTTCTTGACCTCCCGTCCCTTCTCTGGCTGGAGGGTTATCTTCAAACCCTGACGGAGACAACCCTCCTCCTCGTAACTCACGACCGAGCATTCGCAGACACACTCGCAGACGAGATCATCGTCCTCCGCGAGGCGAAGCTGGAGCGATTCCCGGGGAACCTAGCAGCCTACGAAACTGCCCGCACTGAGAACCAAAGGCGCCTAACGCGCATGAAGGAAGCGCAGGACCGGCAAAAAGAGCACATGGAGGCCACCATCGCTGGCAACATCCGTGCTGCTAGGACCTCCGGCGATGACAAGAAACTGAAGCAGGCCGCATCGCGGCAGAAAAAGCTAGACGAGCGCATGGGTTATCAGGTCGGCATCCGTGGCGGCAGGTTCAAACTGAATCGCGACATGCCGGGCTTTCACAACAGCGCGCGCGACGAGATTGAGATTCCACCGGATGACCCGGCGGCACGGTTGGCTGTTCCAAGCGCCCCCGCTGAACTACGCTTTCCGGGGCCACTGGTGTCCTGCGAGAACTTGACCTTTACATATCCCGGTGCGGAGGCGCCGGTTTTGGAAAAGATAACCTTGACAATCCACCTTAGCGACCGCGTCGGCCTCGTCGGCCTCAACGGCGCTGGTAAATCCACTCTGGTCGCCTGCTTAGTCGACACCATACCGGGGAATGGGAGGATCGCAGGAACACTAACCCACCACCCGAAATCCCTAATTGGCTACTTCTCACAAGCAGCCATAGACTCCCTGCCACAGGACCAGGCAACCACGACACTGTCGCTCCTTGGCGGCGACGAACACGAAGCTCGTGGCGTCCTCTCTTCCCTCGGCCTCGTCGGCGCCACAGTGTCCGAACTCCCGGTCTCGCGTCTCTCTGGTGGGCAAAAGGTCCGTGTCGCGCTGGCACAGATCCTGCACCCACCCCCACATTTACTCGTGCTCGATGAGGTGACTACGCATTTAGACGCCGATAGTGTGGTTACCCTGGCCGAGGGGTTAAAAGCGTACGAGGGCGCGGTGGTAATCGTTAGCCATGACCGCTGGTTCGTGAGCGCGGTCGTTGAGGAGGAGGGGAGGAATGGGAAGGTTTATATGGTTGGTGGGGGCAAGGTTAAGCATCTTGCGGGTGGAGTAGCCGCGTTCGAGAAGAGGGTTAGGAAAAGTGTTAAGGGGAGCTTTGGCTAAGTGGGGAGTCAATGATTGGCGTTATAGGAAATTCCGTGGGAGCTATTGGTTGGCCGTAGCATGGGTTAGATTAGTTTGGGATACTCGAGCAGTTGGAAGGGATAACCCTGCGGGGATAGATGCATATTGGCGAGACAAGGCAAAAGGGGTATGATATCATAGATATCGGAATAGTCTCAAAAAAAGAACACTGCTATCATAGCGTTAGTGACAAACCTCGGGTATCCAAACACCTCCGCCAAGCACTTTAGCCCCCACACCCCGCAGCCCATAACCACTTCCAATCTACTACTCGTATTACGCTTAATTTACCGCCCAGCCCAACACTACAAGACCCATCTAGAAAAATACTAGAAATCACGTGTCACGTAAGCTAATAAGTAGGAATGGGTTCCCCCTTTACTCTCGATAGGGTTCCCCCGAATCCTCGTGACTCCCCATCCTACCCCTCGGACACATCAGGCTCCGGTATGGGCCCCCTGGTCTACCCACACTTCCCAAATATCATACCAGAAAACCACTGGGGAAGTCCACGCCGCCGGTCGTGGGGAGAATTGCGGGCATGTCGAACAACCTGTCTATATCCCGACCGCACCCCCAAGGATAAAATCGAAAGAAAGTGAGATGGAATACCAAACAAGAGTCATGACTAACAGGGTGGTGGGGGAAAGCCCAACAAAAGTCAGAGGTGGGGGGGAGTGGTTTGGCGGTCGGTGCGGCTGAGGGATCTACCACTAGGCTTCTAGTAACTTATTCCGCGGTGCTGATGCGTGGCGGCTGTACGTAGTGGTGTTTATCCATGCCAATCGACTGGTTTAGGGCTGACATCAGCACGGGTCGGCAGGATCCTCATGACTCCTTCATGGCCATTTGCGGAAGCTTGAAAGAGTTGTGTCCGGTCACCCCCGTCTGCAGAGTTAGGATCGACATCGGCGCGGCTTAGCAGGGCCTTGACAACTTCTTCATGGCCATTCGCAGAAGCTACACGGAGTATTATCTGGCTAACCCAATTTGCTGAGTTGGGTTTGGCATTAGAGCAGCGTAGTAAGATACTTACCATATCTTCGTTACCATTTTCACCAGCCAGAATCAAAGGTGTGCGGCTCCATTTGTCTGTTTGGTTTGAGTTCACCCATTCCATGCTTAGCAGCGGCACCGAGAGCTCATCGATTCCGAAGTATGCGACATAATGCAATGCACTAAACCCTACAGAGCTGCGCCACAAGTACCATGGGGCTCCTCTGTGGGACAAAAAGGCATTTGCTGCTACATATTGAGGGTATTGGTCTAGAATTTCAAGTGCGAGGTGCCTTGCGGAAACTGTAAGCTCTTTCCAGGCATGGGCTCCCCGATGAAAGGGGGCGTATACAAGAAGCGGAAATACATGTGGTGCCCAGGTAGCTCAAGCAAACCCCGGCCATGGTGGTGTGTGGATTCTGAAAGACATTGTCCTGATGGCTGCGCAGGTATTCCTGTAAGTAGCATGTACGTACTAGACGGACCGTTCATGATGCATGGTCAATAGTAACTGGCCCGTACAGGATGCTACGACAGTCTCTATCGCAGGAACCATTTCGGTATTGGTATTCGGAGATCCAACTTCCACCGCGGGGGCATGGAATAGCTCACCAATGAGCATGGGTCGTCCCCCAATGAAATCCACATCAACGCGGAAATTCGAAATCACGCAAGGGATCTGCGCTGCCCTTTTGTTCTTTCCAGAGTACTCGAGTAACTGTGTAGGCATCGCTTAAGCCATTTGTTATCCCACGGAGCTTCTCTCTTCTTCCGTCTATGGTGATCTCTCCTAAGATTGAATCGATCTGCAATGTAGCTTGAAGGAAGCTTGGGCCTATCATTAGCTATGACATCGTAGCAATGTCTCATGAGCCATACATACATTCCCGGAGATTCTCTGGGGGTCTCTGCCGTAATCTCTGATCTGAGACCATCGCCCTTCGCCCTAGGATATGGGTCGGTATCCACTTTTGTCGCCAGGTACATTTCAATGTCGGTGGGGAGTGGTTGTATCATGATGATGCTCATGTACAGTACAGTGGGATGCGGCTCTCGGGTTCTGATTGGATATGCGGCCTCACGGTACGGAACAATTTTGTATTCGGCAATTTGTCCAATATCTGGCGTAGGGAGCGTATTATAGAGAAACCCGGCTCTGCTCCACTACGAACCCAACCAGTGTATCGACGCGGATGAATTCCTACTAGAAGCGTTCCAACGCTGCCGGAAATAGTTCAACAATTTTTGCAAGCTCCGGTTCCCTTCCTCCAAGATGATGCTTCGCCGCTCTGAAGGCTCGTCTAATCGCTCCTGGAACCTCTGGTAACACCCTCACAGACTACCTCAGGAGACTCCAAATCATGACTTCCGCCATCTGCTCTTTCCGACCACTGTAATCGCAGTACAGGCAACCGACCACAACATCCGTACCAGCGGTCCCATAGCATAAGGAGTCGATAACTAAGGAGCCAGTGGCATTGGGTAAGTGGCGGTTTGGGCGTTTACGGGATTGCAAATCCTATGATACCAGATAGAGGTCTTGTCCGCCCGGAGCCCCACGACAAAACAGAATCCTACCAACCGACCAACTGTTTCCACCCTGCCACCATGTTTGAAAACTCGCTACTCTGCTGTACCCACTCTCCCACACCTTTGGCGCGAGTGCGAACCACATCGTTGTGCCTCTTCCATGACTCCAATGGCGTTATCCATGACAAGATTCGCGGTCGCGTAATTGTTGGTGGTGTTATTCAAGTACGTGGCGTTAAAACTACTGTTGTTATTGCAGAATGGATTTCGGCTGTGGCTGTTGCTCATGATTTTTGAATGGACGCTCCTGGTGTGATCCCTCCTTTTTTCGGGCGCATTTTCGCCAAGCCGGGCCCGCAGGGTGTCGATCGGGGGTGTCATTTATACCGTGGTAAAAGCGGGGTTGTGCTTTTTGCGAAGAGAAAAAGTCAAAGTTAATGTCACCGTTTCACAACGGACCCCGATTCACCCTCTTTGCACTGTGCTTGAGTACAAGAAATCATCGTGGAGGTACTTACCGGTATCCGAATTCAATGCTGAGTAGAATTTAAAGCCGAAAAACAATTTATAAATCTGGAAACTCACCCCCCAGGTCCCATCAGAGGCATAGGATTTTAATCTATAGTCCGTGGTGAGTCTCTCATGCGTTCGGGGGCTTAGAAGGACCTTGCGAATAACAGAGGCGGAGGCAACACCCTTTATTCCAAAGAAATTATCCCGAGTGATGATATGTGAGTGGCCAATTGTCCAGTTTTCGCTTGTCGTCGCGGTGGTTTGAGGGGGGGGTGGGAGGCAGGTATCATAGCCATGGCAGTGCCATCGGGATGGGAGTGGGGTCCTTGCGGATCCAAGAATTGCTATCACCACTCGAACTCCGTAAGGGGAACCAGGGTGACTTTTTATATAGTATGATAGCGTTAGAGGTTAGGTTCTGTCCGGGGGTAGGTTTAGGTTATACTATGAAGGTTAGGATAGCTGAGAGGATCCTATGATATGATATGATACCTCGTTATGCTGCTGGAGTTGAGGGGTTGGCGAAACCTCTATAAGGCATGAGGGAATTCTCCAGAAACCATAGGCTGTGCTTTCGATAAAGTATTCATCAGTAGTAGGCACCATTTGCAAGCAAACTTGCAGACGGGATATCACTCTTTTCGTTCTCTACCCGGATTGCCCGGCGCCGAAGGGCCAATCTGTGGCTGACATGATAGGGAGTCTACTTGGATGGGTTTCATTGGGGGCCATCTAGACTCGGGATGGAGGTGCTTGTGCGGGCATCCGTCTCCAAGCTGCCATTACGAGACTAGAGGACTCTGCCATGCTCTGGGGGTAGAAATGGGGTCTACGGATCCGGACCTTTGGAGCGCCCGTCCGCAAGATACAGTCAGACGGCCCTCTCCCTTCCTCCCTCTTTTCATTTTTTTTTTAAAAAAACAGGAGGAGAAGGTTGAGTACCTGTAGGATTTCGCAAAAATTTTTTATCCTCTCGTGCAGGAGGTGGTCGAGCCATGCTTCGCGACCATACCATACCGGGAGTTTCTTAGACAAGGGTGTTAGAATCAGTGCACTAGCTGTATTGATTACGGGTTTTTTTCTTTTGATCTTTCCCGTACTTGTAGTGTCCGAAGAGCACTTTACTAAGCTATCATACTAAAAGTGACCGATACTATGCTGTAAATTACAACCGTAAGGCACAACACCGGAAAACGGGACCAGGCATTTATAAGCCTGGCCTCGGGTGGTGTGGTCTTTTGCTATAGGGGTTCATGCTGCGGGAAGTGCCGATGAACCAGGGGCTTCAAGTTGTATCATAAGAAGTGGATTTTAGAACCACAGCCCGCCGAGAGTGGTAGAACGCTAGAAACGAGATTTAAAAATAAGTCTTTGGTAGCATAACGAGGAGGATTGCGTGTAGAAGTGCGCTACCGAGGTCTTAAGAGCTACGTTGGATTCACGAGATTCTTATCCGCAGTTCTGGGTTGATTGTGTATCGTATGATAGTTTAAAAGATAAGGAACCGATTGGCGCGTTGGGGTTTGTAACGTAGCACCATGTTATGCAAACCGCAGTTTATGCGGTAGAGCTTTCCAGAGTGCGGTTGGAATCAGAAACAAGGCGGTGTTTTGGGGAGCACCCGGTTTGACCGGTGGAACTTGCAAGCCCTGTGAAATGCAGTTCGGAAGCGCAGTAAAGCTGGGCTTAATCACCAGTTTGAAAACTTTTGTTCCCATTTGATTTTAAGGTTTGTATGGTAGCGTTTTTTATTAAGCCGTTGACATATATTTTCCCCTTTTGCGTTCGGGTGTTAGCTCGGATATCTACTTACCTTTTTTTTTATATCTAAGTATTAAAGTTCGTTAAACTTGAAGTGTTAAGCAATGTGTGTTATGCCTTGCGAATTTCTGATGCGAATGAAAAAAAACTATCATACAAGCGTTATCGTGCCAAACAGGTCCTGAGTTGTATTTACAATGGTTCGGCTAATGGCATCCCGTAAGTTTATAGTGTCGTAATATACGGCACTGTCTGTGTTACTTGGCACCCTATGTCGAACCTCCTTTGGGGGCCGAGTGATAGAATGTGACGTGGTACTTTGGAGACCTTCTCGGCTCCCGGGTACAGGACGGCTCTTGCATGTGGCCGGGGAATATCTATGGAGATGAGG